ACATCTGGTCCCTGATGAGGACCGCTTTCCTCCACCTCCGCTACAATGCCCGCCTCTGATCGTATCTCACACTCAACGTAGCCCAAACCTTAAACACGCATTTGTCATCTTTCACCTTGATTATTCCAATCTCCCCAGCTCCACCATTCATAAAATCCAATTAAAAATTCACCCACCTTCCCGTGTACTCTAAACTCCATACCACCCCAGTACCTGCCAGGCTGCATTGACTCCCTATTACAGAAAAGATTTCAAGATCTTTACACTCATGTACAATCACTTCACACCCTGATACCTCTCTCTCTCCAATCTGCTTACTCCCATTCCACTACCCACCATCTTTGATCAGCTGGCTCCAGCTTCTTGCACATCCCTTGACCCTTCTGTTCCACCATCGGTGGCCATGTTTTCAGCCATTATGCCCGGAAAATATAGAACTTTCTGCCTCAATTCCTCCACCTTGCCCCGTCCTTAATCACCGTCAAATCACACATGAAAACGACGATCGCACACTTCGAAGATCACATTCTCCCCTCCCCACGGCTTGGTGTCAAACTTCACCACTGTTAAGCTCTCCGAGATGCTACGCTATCTGAAGGGCGCTACATAAATGCAAGTTGTTGTTACCAGATGTTCGTGCTGCTGCTATTGCTGCCACTGTCTATGGGACATTTCTGTACGCAAACTAGATTACGCACAAACCACAAGATACACAATTACTACACTAAATAGTGAAATGTTTTCGTGTCTCGACTATAGGGGGAAAGCCAATGAGAGCTGGAGGGTGGGAAGGATCAGGTGGGGTCATAATCCCCCCGACCAATCAATCAGTTTGAGGTCAGCCAGTTTTCTATGTCAGTCAGCTAAAACTGACTGCAACTAATTTGTGGAGTCCTGTAGCTTAGTGGTTAGAACACTCGCCTTGCAAGTGAGACACCTGGGTTCAATTCCCGGCAGGGGGCGAAACCTTGGGCAAGTTTCCTTATAATAATAACGCCTAATAATAATCCTTACAAAAAACAATAATAAATTGGTCATTTTCAATCCATGACTTCTGTGCGCAATTGGCTACTGCGTTTCGCCCACAAATATAGTCAATTCACTTTACAGCATATTCTGTTAAGCGCTTTGAGACGTCTAGAAGAGGTGAAAAGCTCTATATCAAATGCAAGGATTATTATTATTATTAATAATTTACTTACTTTTAAATTCCCGATCGTGAACTGCATTGTGGCATGTAACAACAAATTACATTTGTAAAGCACCGTTCATGTTGGGAGGATGCAGAACAGTTAAGGATTTGGAACCGAGCTGGGTGTTGGGATCAGAAGCGATGGAGAGCATGGAGGGTAGGGTTGGAAGGTGACCCAAGGGGAGAATCTTGAGCCATGCCTTGTAAGAGGCGAGGGAGAAAGTGAGGATGGTGTTGTGGCTGTGTTGCAAATGCAGCCAAGAAGCATGAGCTCTATGTTCGGAGGTGGAGCTATGTTAGAAGTAGAAGGCAGAGGGGCGGAGCTGCTCACGGGGGACATTTATTGTAGGCTATATAATAGAGTAACCATACATCCCCAATTTCTGGGGATAATCCCCAGATGAGGTATTGTGTCCCTGGCCAAATCAGTGTGATGTTAAGGTTAAAAGATTTGTATGATGCTGAACAATAGGCTTAAAATTAATTGCTTATCGTGCAAAAAGGAATTAATTTGGATGATACAAATAAACATCGGAAAAATGTGCATCTGCATATAGCTGTATTGCCATACGAGACTGCAGATGCTGTAGTAAACCTATTTGTGTAAGCAGCTACTAATTACAAACGTGTTCAAATTCATGTTGAGATCAGCAGCACTCTATCCAAGAGGTTTTCTTGTCTCACAAAAGCTTCAAGCCCAATAGTTAACAGTGATAATGGATCAATTGACAAAAGTCATTGTACTTTTGGAGTCCTGTAGCTCAGTGGTTAGAGCACTCGCTTTGCAAGTGAGAGACCCAAGTTCAATTCCAGGCAGAGGGCGAAACCTTGGGCAAGTTTCCTTACTCCACAATAATAATCCCTCCAAAACTCAAAACAATAATAAATTGGTCATTTTCAATCTACGACTGTTTGTGGGACATTGCTGTGCGCAATTGGCTGCCACGTTCGCCCACAAATATACAGTCAATTCACTTTACAGTGTGTTCTGTGAAGCGCTTTGGGACGTCCTCCTGACGTGAAAAGCGCTATACCAACTGCAAGGATTATTATTATTATTATTATTATTGTACGGTTGAAGACAAGCCTGATGCTGATGTGGAAACCCACAGGAAAACAAATTAAAGCGTTGAAACTGATGTAAGTCAGAGCAGCCTGACAATTCCAGGCATCAAGAATGAAGATGTTGAAGCTAATGTGGGCCAGACATTTCTAGATAACGTCACAAATGATCCCGGTGGTTAGTGGAGTTGTAAGTTCTGCCCTGAGATACGTTATGCCGAACAGGACCAATGCAGATGAATGAAAGCGAGAATAAATTTGGTTTTCCCAAAGGTCCTGCTGGTAAAAGATTTTCTGAAACCTGGTCCACAACCATTCCAGCAAATCAGGCTCAACAGAAAAGAATTCAAAGTAACAACAACTTGCATTTACACAGTGCCACGTACACAGGGTTGAGTCCCAGAGTGCTTGACAGTGCTGGAGCACTTCCATCTCCTTTCGAATAGTGGCATGCGACCTTTAATATTGACCTGAACAGCAGACAGTACCTCGGTTTAATATCTCATTCGGAGGATGGCACCTCCAACAATGCAGCACACCCTCAGCAATGCACTGAAGTTTCAGCTTAGACTATGTAACTTCAAAGTCCTGACACTTAGACATACAACATACATACACCCACAATTCACTATGCCTTTGCTAGTGCTGCCAAATGGTATACTGAAAACAGGAAGAAATGGGTAAAATCATCACATCTTTAGACTTCCTGTAGAGAATGCTCAAGGGAGCAATACATCTCAATAGTCAAAGGGAAGTCAACAAACTGTTGATTATAATGGCTCAATCTCTTTGATGTGTTGAATGAAAGAACTTATATTTTTAGACCCTTAACATGTTGAAATATCTTGAAGCAATTTACAGTAATTACAGTGAAATGTAGGGCCTGTTCTTTTTTTTCCTCCAGTCTTGTGACATATTCCAGAAAATCACTTAACCTACACATTAGTTAGACAGACTTGCTCACATAAGAGAAATGTTAAGTGGGATTTTTGATCAACAAGATCGTCACAGGTTGCAAAACCATTTGCAGTTGTATTTATTTTTCATTACACCTGGTGACCATCAATGACACTTAACAGGTCACATTACGATCAGACAGTAGCTCCTGTACCAGGAGGAGTTAGTTGGAGTTGAGATGGTCCTTTTTTTCAGGGGCGACAAGTGATTTGAAAGTGGAGGGTGTTAGAAAATAAAATCAGCCAAATCTGCAAGGAAATAACGCTAATTCCTCTAACCAGATATCAGACTGTTTTATTATTATTCGTTCGTTATTCCCCAATATCCCGATGGGTCAGACCAAAGGCCAGTACAATCAACAGATCTTATAACAGAATAGTACCACTATAGATATCTCAAGTTCAAGAGTTCAACACTGTGTCTTTGCAGCACACAAGCTTGATTCTTCATGCTTTCAGTCTTCTTGCTTACAGCTTTCAATCTTCCATCTGATATCCTCAGTCTTAGTGTTTCCAGCTCTCAGTCTTCCATCTCCGTACCGTTGTCTCCGCAGCCCGGGAGGGCCCCATCTCCCGTATCCTTGTCTCCGCGACGGCTCCATCTCCCGTATCCTTGTCTCCGCGACGGCTCCATCTCCCGTATCCTTGTCTCCGCGACGGCTCCATCTCCCGTATCCTTGTCTCCGCGACCCGGGATGGCTCCATACACAAAGTTATCGGAACTCTTATACCAATGTTCATCCAATCATGGTGCAGACATTAGATCATCTGGTCGAAATCATGCCGGGTTCACGTGAACATCTCATGGGGTGTACGTGCCTCACACACAAACACACTGTCCTTGAGACTGTCCGTTATCTCGTGTACGTGCAGGGAGTTTCAGTCCAGCTGCCCACAACACACTTAACTTAAAAGTTAACCCGTTCGCAACATCTATTATGGTTCTAACATTATACAAAAAGTGTATATTCTAACAAGGGGAACAGCTGTTTAGCAGCTCGATGGCTGCATCAAGATTACTGGGATATAGGGCGGGAAAGAAAGAACCTGACTCCGAGCTGGGGGGGGGGTGTGACCGTAAACATGGTCGAAAAAGGTTTTCAGGTGGGACTTGAAAAAGGGGAGGGCAAGGCGGAGGGATTGAGGGAGAGTGTTCCAGAGTTTCGGGGCATAGTGGCTGAAAGAAGGATGTTTGTGAGGATGAGAGGCCATCTGTGAGAGACTCAGGGGGGCTTTTACCAAGGGCAGCTGAGGAAATAGTCATGAGATGGCGTTATGCCCAATGGGATGTAAAAGAAAAAAAGTTTTTACAAACTGAAATGATTCAGTTATATCCTCATTGTGTCAGCTTCCCATTCTCGCACAGCACAAGTAATTGGCTGCCCACTCGTATACTTAATAATAATAATCCTTGCATTTGATATAGCGCGTTTCACGTCTTCTAGACGTCCCAAAGCGCTTCACAGAATATAATCTAAAGTGAATTGACTGTATATTGGTGGGCGAACGCGGCAACCAATTGCACACAGCAATGTCCCACAAACAGTCGTAGATTGAAAATGACCAATTTATTATTGTTTTTGGAGGGATTATTATTAGGCGTGTGGAGTAAGGAAACTTGCTCAAGGTTTCGCCCTGTCTGGAATTGAACTCAGGTCTCTCACTTGCAAAGCGAGTGCTCTAACTACTGAGCTACAGGACACCACTTGTGGTGTTCTAAGCGTAAATTGGAAAATAGGGTTTTTCTGAAGGGAATGTATGAAGACTTGTCATGGAAATGACAATACGAAGAATTTCAAACATTGCTGTTTTATTTGACATTTGCCTACACCATATTTTACAGTGAACTATTACATTATTATTTCACATCACCTAAATGGAAGCAATAACGCGAGTAGCAACAGATGCTGTTTTGGATGATTTGGAGACAAACAATTTACTGCCATGTGCTGAAAAATCACTTTTTCTAAACTTATAGAATCAGGCACAGAAGATATTATCTCTATACAGTGTTTGCTGACAGCTGAGATACAACTTTCAACGCCAAGATATTTGAAGGAGAGCTTTTTGTTTTGGTCACCAGGGTGTCGAATACACGCGAAAACCCATCACCATGCTCAAGAGTATCCAAACCAAACAGATTTCCATGTATCCCACCTATTCATGGAAATTACCATGTATTGGAATGAAATGTGCGATATCTTCCCAGAGGGACACATTCTCTGTACCTAATTCCAGAGATTATAAGGCCAGGTTGGCAAGAGCCTTGGTGACTTCAGAGCACGCACTGAGCTACTCATGGAGTCTAACCAGCTAAAACTACATAACTGGTTCAGGGAAATGTCAAATGAACAGTCGGTTAATAAAGAAAATGATCTGCAAATTCTGTTTTACTAATAGTAAAATAGTTAAGTTCTCCTTCCTTCTCACCAACCTCAAATCAACATGTTCAAACTCCCAGCTCCAAGTAATTAACGATAACAAATCTGCCCAGGATCAGCATTCTGATCAATAATATGTGGTCCCATAATGTATCACTTGTGGAGCTCATACCGTTTCCCTGGCAGTGAATGTAGATACAGATTGATGTTGAAGTGTGAATCCAAGTTGGTTCCCTCTCTCCCTTTTAAAATGGATGCTAATGGTCAGACTAAATGCATTTGCCTTGTTTAATAAAGCCAGTCAGACTACGCTGTCTTGGTGATCTTCAGACAGGTTATGGTGGGTTATTCCCATTTACAGGAGCTCACAAATTACCACTGTGGCGCACGATTGTCATTTGCACATACACAGCATTTAGCACTTCCAATAAAAGTTTTACTTCATATTTAGCACAGAAATAGAGATAAATGTTTCCTGAGATGGTTACAAAAATTAGATGCAAATTTTCTTGCATTCATCTCTCAACCCTCATCCCACTCTCCTTTTCTCATTCTTTCCCTCCCCCATACAAGGTATGATTATGATGACTTTGGACTGTAATAAATATTAATTGTTGAGCCCTATTAAGCTCCAATAAGTGCTATGCATAACTGATGACATAGATGGGGGTATATACTCCCAAACATCTAATAATTGCCCCTTGTAATCAGCCATTAGGTTGGGGAAAGAGGAGGTAGTTGAGAGATTAGTGAAAGAGGATTTGCTGATCATTTTCTTTATTAACCCTCTGAAGAAAACATCCCATTATTTCTGTTTTCAAAGTCTCTTGGATAATCTGGTCAATATGAAGAACTTGCTATGCAGAGAATTGTGGAAGCAAACAGTTAACAAAACCAGCTGACTAAATGGGATAAAAAGTCCTTACCTAGTTTTTATAACTCCTTCATTGAAGCAACCTTGAATCCTCATTTACTTGTAAAACAGCACAGTACAAAGTCAAGCTACCAACATTTTACATATTTAAAATTATAATATGTCACCTGGATTATTTTAAACATGTGCAATCCAGTTATTCTGTATATAAATATATTCATATATATATATATAATCTTCATCTCAAACAAACTGCACTAAGTTAAATATCACAAAAGTAGCAGTTTCACCCAATTAAGCAACAGTAATTGCAGATCTGTACTTTTCCAATAAACTTTTGCAGAACAAAATGAACGTTTTACAACAGGTACAACAACAAATTTGTACTGAACAGGTTCTTTAACCAATATACATTGAAGAACTTGAAAACAGCTTCATATCTCTAACCTGAGTAGCTGTGAAACCTTCCTCCCTTATTCAAGTACTGTAATCTACATCCTCAACACACGTCTATTCACAGAGAAAACCCGAATGGATCATAGTGTCAGGACAGGGGAAAGCTGTGACCAAACCCGGTAGACTTTGACCTTATGGCATATCAAGGGATGAGGAAAGATAATTCCTTTTCCTTTGCTCGTATGACAAAGTGATTTGTGTGACATTTCGAGATATGATGGTGCTGAGTTTGGACGCAATAGAACATTAACTCTTGAGAAAGAAACAGTATAACCACATATTTCTCCAACATTAATTATCCAATATTGGCCGCCCCGTGCCCACAATATAGAAAATCTATGGCACATAGCATAACAATATTATTTTGACAAGAAACTAACTCAACGATTTGCACAAACAAACCCATAATCCCCCCCAAAATAATCAGGTCTTATTTCACAAGCAGATTGTCCTTAAAGCTGAGTCACTTTGAGTCTCGTGCCTTGAAAAAGTAAAAGCAATTAAATATTTGGATCATTAATAGACTGCTCATGGAATGTAGAGTTTTCTTATAGTTTTTCTTTTCTTTTAAAAAAGGTTGTGTGCTCACTTGTTTCCTTTGACCCAAATGCTACAAGCTTCATTTAAGGCATGCAGATAGTTGTGTTGCAGAATCATAAGTCCACATCTGGATGGCTTTAGGCTGGATCAAGTTTTCATTTCCTGCTGTTAAGTACTTTGTTTCCTATATAAGCGCAATTACTCAGTGTTTCGTGAACGTGTTCATTACAAGAACGAATCTTCAATCGGCGGGGCGTACGAAAAGCCAATAAATGCATCGTCAGCTTCTAAAACACTGGCGTTAACTATTGACCGGTCAGGAGACTGGCAGATGGAGTGTGGAACCTGTTCTTCTGTGAACTCTGGGTCAAAATTCTGTAGATCTTCAGGTCCCGCCTAAAACACAAATTATTAATGTTGTTAAATTTATTATCTTTTTTTCACATTTCATATCAGACATCATTGTCTTAGTTTATCTGGATCATTAATGAGTTACATACCACACTGGGATTAAAGGGTGGAGGAATTTCCTTCTGATCCAGGTCTTCCCAGTTGATAAGATCAAAAAAGGGATGGCATTTGATTTCAGCCTGGAAGAGTGAAAAACCATTGCAAATCAATGAACAGCAAATTGTGCAACATTAAAAGTAACAATAGTTAAACATCTATACAGAGTTGTTTGCTAAATTTCATTTGAGTGTGTCGGAATATTAAACAAATTAAGCTTTCCCTCCTCATTTGTTGCGAGTTTTTGTCTTTTTGCTGCACATTTTAAAAACATTTCAAAAGTTGTATTAAAAATCATAACTAAAATGCACGTAAAGGTCAAGGTTCAGGATTTGAGTTTATCAGTGCAGATTTGCATGAAAGTAACTGAACTGAGGCAATTTGTACACTTGTGTCTAATTTGTGCTATTTAACAGATTTCTATAAAATGATCACATTTCTAGAACACTGAATGGAGTGAAGAATGTATTGTTTGGCATATTTGATGCTGCAGATTGCAAGAATTCACTCTTCAATGCATTTTTTAGAGATGTTTTAGAGATTTGCTAATTACATATTTCTCAAGTAAACTGAATTACAGATGTTAAACCCCACTGTGAAATAGAGTTGTTCAGCATACAAGAAGCGAAACCTAGCCAGCCATCAAGTTCATTTTGGATTTAAAAAGTACATTAAAGCTGCATATACTGAGAGAATCTTAGAAGTTAAGGTGATTTGCAGGTGCTTCCATCTAAAAAATACTCCTCTCTTCACATTCTCTATGAAAAGAAACCATATTTGGTTTGGTTGAAAATCTGGGACCTGAAGGGAAGAAAACATAATTTTCGGGATGAAAGTAAACTCTCTTGCACAAGAAGGTTATAAATTGGATAAGAAGTTGGATAAATCATGGGAAACTAATAGATGTGAGCAACAGCAGCAGCATTTTAACTGGGAAGGTAGGTCCCTCAGAGTATCACAATATTTAAAAGTCTGCAGAATACCATCAAGTAACGTAGCAGAAAAACAGAGGGTGTTCAAAAGAAAGGGATAGAATTTTAGAGATCTGGAGAAACTTTAGTAACTGGACAGATAGTTTAAAGTTGAGGAAAGTGAGTAATGTCTAAATGGTACTAAAATAACATTGATTCTTATATAAAGGTAACATTGTTAAAAAAGGCAAGTCAAGAAAAAGGTCCATGTCGCAGCAGCAAAGTAGACATTGAAACGATCACTGAAATGTATTGCTACAGCTGCAAATGCAATGTTGATTAGTATAATTTGTTGCAAAGCATATGAATCCAATAGCAAAAGTGAGTTCCCTGCAGAGTCCAGTTTCCAGGTGTGATTGTTACACCTGGGTAGGAAGGAGTAGGAAGGATTGGGAAGGCAGGGTGGGAAACCAGGAGATTCTCTATTTCAGATGATTGAGTTACAAAGAAACGCCAAGTACATAGCATCATATTGACAAACTCGATAGCTCCGCAAATTAATACGACTCCATCTTTTGATCAAATGACCACGAGATTTCAGCAAATAATGTCTATTCTCAAATGACCCTTACACGGCAAAGTGTTTGGTTAACAATCCCGGTCTAACAAAATGCTAAAATTAACTGTGCAGCAACATCATTCTATTAAAAAAACTACTGTCATTTTTTTAAAAAAGAGAAGTTCTTACAAAATCTTCTTTTGCTCCTAGCCTTCTCTGCCGGTCTTTTTCGAGCAGCCCTTCCAGGATAGAGCAGGCGGAGTTACTTGTCCCAGGCCTCAACTGCAAAGGCTTGTGAAGAATGTGTTCGTACATCTCTGCAGTATCACGACTGTAGAAGGGAGGCTACAGGACACACACACACATTGATTTTGGTCAACTGGCATCACTTTGTCTTAGATTAATTCCCATCATCTATTTTGGTTCTTCTCCTTTTACCTGTGCATTCGCTAGGCTTGAAGCAGATCCTGCCAATATCATCGATGAAGTGGGGAATACATTTAATGCCTAGCATCGCAGTTACTGCACAGTTCTGCTACTTTTGCATGGGAGGTGGTGGAAGGTTCTGAATAAATGTTAGCTCTGTCTTGTACCAAGTCATCAGTATTAGTCGTCTCAAAGAGAATGATACACATGGGTGTGTATCTGATGAGAGCCCTTCCACCAAAGGCTTTCAGAGTGGTTTTATCAAAATTATGTTAATTGAAAATGTATCACAATAAAGTAGAATACACACCAGCCCATACAGCATTTCATACAGAACAGATCCAAGACACCACCAGTCAACTGTATTATCATAAGGCTGCTTTCGAAGCACTTCTGGGGCAAGGTACTGAAAAAGAGAGCACAATACGTATTTTCTACTAAACCACAACCCCTCAGTAATCAGTAACTTTTTTTGGATAGGGGAAAATGTTTCAGTGGTTTGACCTCACGATCCCAAGATCTGTTCCATTGCCCCGGTAGAGAATGACTGATAAAAGTTTCCAATGGCATCAAATGGAAAAAATGGGTAGCATAATGTGTCGATCAATCCACTCCAGAAACAAAAAAACGTTTCCTCAAATCCCAATGCAGTAGAGATGCAAAATCTCACTGAGATCACATTAGTTAAATCTTTAAACAACCCAACTCAAGATCCCTTCAAGATTAGGTTTAAACTGACCTATGTTCACCTCCAGAGGGGGCTGTACACCATTATCATTCATACTGGAATATTTCATTGCTGTGTCCCAAATTTCTGCTTCTACGGATATGTTTCCTTCAACGATGGCCAGACTACAGTCTATTAGTTTTGATCAGCTGGGTGCGTGACACATGCTGAAGGACCCTTCAACTCTGCATCCTCACCCTCACCAAACTCCACACGCCTATCATCCGAAAGCTCGCAAGGTCCACTCTCACCTTGTCTCCCATCAGATCGACTTCAAGCCCCTCGCCCTCATCTACAAATAGAGCTTTAAAGACCCCATGGCACTACTCAAAAAGAGAATGAAGTTTCTCTTGGTCAATAATCCCACAGATAGTATTAGGAATTTGCCCCATGGCTGTTTGGGCTAATGAATTTGCTGAGTGTAAATTGCCAACTGTGTTCACCTGAAAAGTATACAGTAACTACACTCAATAAATCCTGTGGCGGCCTCCTGATATGAAAATCGCTACATCAAAGCAAGGATTTTTTTTATTACCTCAGGTGTTCCACAGAAAGTTGATGTGGTGTCAGTGCAAGAGACTCCTTCTTTACACAGGCCAAAGTCTGTTAAAACTATGTGTCCCTGTAACATAAAAGCAAACGGCATTTGCTAAATCCAAGAACCACATCAAACACACCTTTTAAAACAAGAGGCGAGATTTTTTTTAATTTTGGGAGGGTGGTGGGGGGAGCTGGCTAAGCAAACTGAGATGACTAAACTGGCCAAATAAATCCAGGGGCAACTAAACTTATGAGGAGGGTAGGGAACATTACCAAGTCTTTAGAGCTTCAGCAACCAAATTCACCGTTATTATTCACTAAATTCACCATTTTTAACTCACATAGTAGGGAGTTTGAAGATTACCTCTGTGCCATGTCACACACTATCAGTATTCTGAAAGAAACTAATTGCTTCATTAACAAAGTAAACCATGCATGTACATACCTGCGAGTCTAAAAGAATATTTTCTGGTTTCAAATCCCTGTTACAAAAAAAGTGTAAGTTATTTTTTAAAAAGGTAGGTTTTCAAATTAAAAATAACTAACACGTTATTTCACACAAATGAGGAGTATGCGCAATGGTTTTCCTGTGATCAACAAAATGTTTACATCCGCAGTCCCAATAGAAGATGCATGCAAAACAGAGCTGCAATGTCATTGTAAACAGAAGATACTTACACAAGTTTTATTCAGTTGCTTTTAAAATCATTTCTATTGTGCTAGGAGGCAAGTGTATGCCATAAACAATCAATAAGCTCAATATGCACAATATGCGCAGTCAGTGGGCAGAGATAGCCTTCAAACTTCCTTTCGGTCAGCACAGCATCTTTGCTCATTCAGTCAGGACTGATTTGTTGTGGATTGTACACTCAGACACAACTGCCATCCCACACATGTTGCTCTGACAATCCACAATTGAGGAGAGTCCCAAAAAAACAGCTGACTGGACCAGCCATCAGGTTGAAAGTTACGCTTCAAAATATTGATTGTTATACCACAGAATGTAAACGCAGCATCAATGGTGCATCAATTTAAAATCCACCATAAAAACCTTAATAATAGTAAACAGTAGTGATACTTGGCACATTTAAAGCATCCGGTTACCTGTAAACAATGTTGAGTGAATGCAAGTACCCCAGTGCACTGGCTATTTCCGCAGCATAAAACCTGGCTCTGGCTTCTGGGAAGCAACGTTCCCGTTGAAGATGGAAAAACAACTGGAAATATTTTTAAATACATTAAAGTTAACAAGAAGACCACAGGTTTCCCATCTTACTCTCTCACCTTTCAGAGGGTAATCTATTTACATGTGATTGATATTTCCATTTCTTCAAACTAATTGTGCATTATAACCCCAATTATTTTGAGCAGATGGATTAAAATTGTCAAATGGTTTTGAATGTCTCCTCTCATACAAGTATTAGTAACCATAATGGCATCCTGTAAGTGTGATGTTTGTACAATGGGAACATTTGCTCAGCTCGCAATTCCCCCACAATCTCCAGTATTCGCTTAAGTTACTATATAAAAAATCCTTTTTGCTGTCTTGTCTGGAAGTGTTCACAATAACACTTTTATCCTGTACGAATAATGCAATAGAATATTTTGGGTTTCATGACAAATGAACGCAGTGGATGCGCCCTAAAATGGAAAGAGTTAACAGTGGAAAGGTGTTCAATATGATTATCTCCAAGTGAGAAAACATGTCCATTTGTTGCTATCAAGCAAACACTGCAGGTAGTGGTGACTGACAAATGTAAATTAATTCAACTACCATGAATCTGACTGTGGATTGACTGCGTATTTTGTGGGTAAAATGTCTCAGTTCATGTCTCAGTACAAACCTCTCCACCATTAATAAAGTCCAGGACAAAGTAGAGCTTGTCTGTAGTTTGGAATGAGTAATGAAGCCCAACAAGGAAGGGATGTTTCACATTTTTCAGCAACACATTACGTTCAGCCATGATGTGCCTTTGCTGCAGTGTGCAAAACACAGAAAAACAAAATGAGCAAGGAAAAAAAATTAACACTAAAAACTGATTTGATAACAAGTAAATGTCTAAAAGTTACCTCTTTTCTCTTTAGGATTACTTTCTTATGTAAGACTTTGACCGCATAAAATTTCCCGTCCATTTTGTGTTTAGCAAGCAGAACCTGACGAAAGAAAAATAAGAGTTAGATACACAATGGGATGCAACTCACAGGGGTACTCTTTACACATTAGAATTCCTGCTGACTCGCGGGAACACTTTCCTGGAAGTAGATCCCGTTGGAGCAGAGTTTCTATGGGGTAATGTGATGTCATGTACTTTGAGTTTCCAAAAGGTGTGCTACATTTGCATGTCTCAAATGCAGTGTTAAGGAATGGTATTCAGAAATATTGCAAATGAAGACCCAGATTAATATAGACGTCTTTGAAACACACAGTGAAAAGTAAAGCTGTGTCAGCAATCTTACCTTGCCAAAGCTTCCTTTGCCAATTACTTTCAAGAAAGCAAAGTCCGTTGGCTTTGCCCTGAAACAAACCCAAAAGCATTCTGTAAGTGCAACCAGCGCCTGTGGATGTAGGGGATTAATTAACCGTTTATAACTCACAAAAGCACAAGAAACCAAATCAAGCCACCTGATGTGAAAAGCACTATATAAATGTAAATTTGTATTATATGTACTGCAATCAAAAAAACAGGAAGAATATCTGAGTTTTACATTAAGAAAAGTAAATTCAAGAAATATAAGAATACTCACTGTGGATTTCCTGAGGCACCAAGGTAAATGCTTTCAGAGGTAGAATGTTGCTATAATAATAAAATAAAACAATCTTAGATTTCTGTGCCAGTCAGGACATTCAATCAGATTACTGCACCTGACAGCAGGGTTAATCTAGCCTAGAAGGTAAAGACAGCACTAAATGCAGCACTGCAAGTTATACAGACTGGGAAAAGATTGCAGATTCAACAGACCTCACCAGTCTGCTGTGAGGTAGCTGATCTCAGCTGGTGCTGCAATCAGCCTTCATGCCCCTCGTTTAGAGAAGATATAAATCAGCCACTGCTTCCGAATCCTTACAAGAGAATCCGTCCCCCCGAAAGATACATCACAAGATCAGTTCCAAAGAAGGAAGCCCTTTGGCCATTTGATTGCATCTTTCCAGAACATACACACTACCATCCTCCCATCACAGCATCAAGCTGTTTTTTTTAAAAAAACGAGTCCAGTGTCCAAGCCTCAACCACCCATTCTGTCAACCTGTTCCAGTTGTTCATTATTTCTGATACCTGTTCTGCAATTGCCCTTTGCAACTCTAAACCCACGTCTTCTTGTTCCTCCTTATCCTAAAGTATTGTTGTGGTTCCTAAAGTATTGTTCTGGGTTTACTTTCTCAATCGCACTTAAAATTTGATACACCTCAATTAGATCCTCACTTTGAAGGCTGAAAATGCATATGAATGTCAGTTGAGGACAAGATTGGGCTCAGATGTCACTGCCCAACCTCACATTTAAATAGGATCACACATGAATACTGGATAATTTTATTGAATTGTTGTTGTTCTTGTGGATACTTGGGCAAAGTATTGAAGTCTTTGGAATTGTCCTCCAGTGGATGGACAACAATTGCGAAAACAATTTAAGACAAATTTCCTGGTAGGATGAGTGTGGGAAGGAGGGAAGGAGAAACTGAACGTTAGACCTCTGAGGTAACAAATATATACATTTGAAAAAAANGTGAACCAAACTTTGCAATGTACAGTACCATTTGGCCAGTCTTTTCATCTTCATCCTCGGAAGGATCTGACTGATTTTTTGGGTTGTCCATTTGAAGGAATGCTCGGACATCGGGTCTAAATCAGAAAACACACAATAGCAAATTCCCTTAACCATAGGCTGTTTTGAGGTTCTTAAGAAACAATATATTATAAGTAAGATAAAGAGTTACGCTGGCACCCATGTTTCCAAAACATCAAGTGTGGTGCAAAACCATACAGTTGCATTCCAACATCTCAATAGTTATTTTTAATTAAAAAATTCCAAAAAACAAAACTAAAAACATCAGGAATATTGCCTTTTGGGCAAAATAATTTAAGCTCACTGAATTCGAACATTGCTGAACCATCCAACTTTCATGAGGACAACTACAACAATGGGAATCTTTCATAGTCAGCTGAAGTGGAGACATCAACTTGTTCGGTTCTTCAACTTCTGGTTAACATTCAGCCTGCAACCATTAGTTTAAATAACTATGGTTTTGGGAACTCTTCATTTATATTGATACTCTTGAATTAGTTTAAAAAGATGGGAATCAGCACAGGTAAAGCTGAGCAATAGAAATAACCCTTCAATATTATCTGCTGAATTCTAAAGTTAATAATCAAAAACAGAAGTTTAGGAGGATTCCAGGGAGCACTAATGATGAGTCTATTTCGAACGGTTATGTGAGTATTTTTCATTTCTCCTTTTTGTTTTAAACTGTGTAACTTTACAAAGACTGTACAGCTCAGAAAAAGGTCATTCGGCCCAACTATTTTGTGCCGGTTTATACTCCACACAAGACAAGCCTTAATTTCTTCTATGTGCCTCCATTCCTTTCTCCCTCATGTATGCATTGAGTTGCCTCTTAAATACATTGATGCTTTCTGCTTCAAACACAGTTTCTGGCAACAAGTAGTGAATAGTACTGCATTTTACATCGTCTTAAACTGCCTTATTCAGTCACTTGTTTTTTTCCCCAAACATTCCCATGAACATTTAATAATCTCCTCTTAATGACTCTCAGCTGCCTCTTGATTTCTTTTTTAAAAACTTCTTGACATTATGTTTTGTTCCTCTCCCTTCCCTACTCTTTTCTAGAGAGGAACTCCAGTTCACCGTTTCAGTTCCAACAAAGGGTCATGCCCGAAACCTTAACTTCTCTTCTGCTTTCAGATGCTAAGGATTTACAGAATTTTCTGATTTCATTTCAACCCAATTTCACTTAGAGACTTTCTTTCTATTTCTGCAGAACAGAAAGTGGAGAAGGAATGAGTCGTTGAAATTAATTGCTATTTGGCATTGTTTACTGTCTCCTCCACAACACTTACTCCAGCTACTGCAAAAGACCACTTAAAGTTAGTATCACCAGCATTTCAGAGAAATAATAGGGTGAAACTTACTGTTCACTTAACTCTGGATTGGAAACCAGTTTCTGAATGAACTCATTCAACCCTGCTCTTCTTTGCTTAATGAAGGCTGTTGAAAAGAAAAAAAGTGAAAAAAACTCCTACATTGAGATGCTTTTAAAATAAAAAATTTAAAAATTATGAAGCATTCATCCAATCAAAATGTTTGCGATTGAGACGCACCTAACAGTCAAAAACAGATTAATTTACTTATCAGAATTGTTTTTGCCTCAACATCACCCTGCATCAATGGACATGATTGTTGGCAATTGAATTGAAAATGCATGAGCCCTCTAGTGGCAGATAACAATCGAGTGTCTTAAATAGCAAATTACAGTGGAATATCCATTACAACAACATATTACATTTATATAGCGCCTTTCATGTTAGAAGGTCGTCCCAAGTCACTTATGGATATTATTTTATAATAATAATGGTACTTACATTTGATATAGTCTTACATCAGGAGGATGCCTCAAAGCGCTTCACAGGATAGACTACAAAGTGCAGTGACTGTTTTGTGGGCAAACGTGGCAGCCAAGTTTAACATATGGTAAAGTATGTGTTGTGTGCCAAATCAACTGTTGGAATGGTTTCAACCGCACTGTCCAAATGGACAACAATGATTTGTCCTGCCCCTTTGCTCCCCTCAAGCACAATTGAATGCACTTCCAACCACTCACCCACCCACCCACCTGGAAGTAGGTTTTGTTTATTAATAATTTGCTTATAATTTCTCCTTTGAAAATGACGATCAACAAGAAAGCGTCAAGGTTGATTACAAATCAATTTCCACAGCCATCCTTTTCCCACTGCTCACTTAGAGAAGGAAAGAGTGTTTCTTGTACTGATGGGACTAGCTTAGGTGGCCAGGTAGTAATAATATAATAATCCTTGCATTTGATACAGGGCTTTCTACGTCGTCTAGACATCTCAAAGCGCTTCACAGAATATGCTGTAAAGTGAATTGATTGTATATTTGTGGGTGAAATGTGGCAGCCAATTGCGCACAGCAGTGTCCCACCAACAATCGTGGATTGAAGTGACCAATTTATTATTGTTTTTTTTTGAGGGATTGTTATCAGGCGTGTGGAGTAAGGAAACTTGCCCAAGGTTTCACCCTGCCGGGAATCAAACCCACGTCTCTCGCTTGCAAAGAGAGTGCTCTAACCACTGAGCTACAGGCCTCCAAGTATAGGACTCCAGGTAAAAGTTATTCAAAAGATTGCCTTGTGAGACAACAAAAAAAATCTTTCTCTCTCTCACTCAAAAGCCCTATTACAAAAGGCAAGGTAATGCTACATTTCACTCAGACTATCTGAAAACTGGTTTTACAGCAGCCCGAGGCTGACACTGACCAGAATCCACCGGGATGACTTTGCATGCGTGTATACCGGGAACAATGAAAATCATTTAGGATCCTGGGTCACCACTTGCAAATTTTTACCACACCTGGATCTCTGAACGTTCGCTAGCCTGTTGGGGTGGACAGATGCTCAGTCCTTACCACACCTCCGCCCAACCAGAAAAACCCAGCACTCTTGCGGCAGCCACTTAGCTTACTGGGTTGTGTTGTGCCAGATCTGGTGTCGCCTCTGGATGTAGAAGCACCACCTCAGATAGCAGCAGTGTCTGTGAAATCAGGGCAACCACCAGAGTCAGGGCTGGAGGTGAATCGGAAAGTTAACATTTAAAGAATGAGAAAGGCCACACCAATGCTGGGTTTTCTGACTTTATCCCCCATGGATTAGTGTCATCACTTCACAGAACTTCACGGCATGGAGCCGTGAAGTAGCATTCCTCCAGTGCAGTACTCCATGCGGGAGAGTTTCAATCTTGTTCCCTTTAAGATTAGAATATGTTCTGGTTTGAGAAAAACAAACTCAGCGTGTGGTAATGTCCCTGAATATGCAGCAAGCTCAGTTCAAAATAAAACCTCCAGAAATTTAAAACCGGGAGAAGGATAATTAAATCATATGAAAAGGATTTTCATGTATATTTACATTATATATTAATAACAATCCTTGCATTTGATATAGCGTCTTATCACGTCTTCAAAATGTCTCATTGCGCATCACAGAATATACTGTAAAGTGAATTGACTGTATACCTTTGTGGGCAACCAATTTTGCACAGCAGTGTCTCACAAATAATCATGGATTGAGTGACCTAAGAGTGACCTAAAGTAATTTTTATTACTTTTTTATGAAGGGATTATTAACCGCAGAAAAGCAATCCCCCAATCGACTAACAACCGGGTTCCTACTTACTGCTAGATAAACAGAGGCGTGTGGAGTAAGGAAACTTGCTTAACATTTCGCCTTGTCTGGGAATCGAACCCAGATCCTCTCGCTTGCGAGGCAAATGCTCTAACCAATATGCTCCAGGATTCCATTTTAACTGCAGTGCATTGTTTAATAGGTGATTTTGAAAGTTATTTCAATCTATAAGCACTAACAATCGAGCCTACACATTGAGTAACTATAAGTAAATCGACCGGTCAGCATAATTTACTGGGTTTTTAGAATGCACTTATCCTGGATTCAATTCTTTTAACAGTGTAAAAAGCCATTGGGCTGGCAAATCATTAAATTAATGATATTATACATATCATACAACAGAGTAAATGAAATCGGGCAACAACTAATAATTATACACCACCCTTCACTTAGGGCAACGTTTCAGAGCGCTGTACAAGCATGGTTCGGATGCCAAGTGACAGGGAGCATAGACACGGTCGAAGAGATGGGTATTAAGGTGAGACTTAATGACGGATAAAAAGGGACGAGGTTGATTGAGGGAGGGGGTTCCAAAGAAGAGGTATATATAAAATCTGCAGTGGCACGTCTTTTTACATTCCAGCAGATGTTAGATAGAAGTCAAAGGGAAATCGCCTTCATTTATAATGAGTTCCTTGTGATAGTCCAGTAGGGCAACTCATAAAGAGCATACAATAGATGCTTCTCATTCTAGCACTTGTATCAACAACGGCTCAGTGGTCTGGGACAGTGAAATGAATCGGGAGACATTCTGATCACAGCTAGAACAGCTTCCTTCTCAAAGTGTGTGCTAAGTAAGAGTGCCAAAACCTTCCTCTTTCAAGTTGAAATGAAAGCTCAAAGGCGGAAAAAAATGTATTGACTTCTGCTCTGCAATTCTAAGTTACACTGGTGAATGTACACAGCACAATCAAAACATCTTCCACAGAATAGTCGCTGAGCTGTTGTAGATCTGATCTTACTGTTTTTTTAATAAAACAGATAAAATTGTAAATGGTAAAATTGCACCACCGAGCTAAAAGAGGGACAAGAGAGGGCCTGCGGGTGCTGTGGGTTGGGGCTGCTTGGAGGACTGGCTATCGTCCTCCTCAGGGTTTCCCCTCCAGCTCCCCTTAAAGAGCTGAGCTGCAAATAGATTTTTTTTTGGGGGGAGGAGAGACCGAGCCACTTCTCGCCCTAGCGACCCACCACTTATGGGCACTAGGGCAACACTGTCTCTCTTCTCACTCCCTCCACCTGCCTGCCCCTCACCCACAACCTTAGGAAGCAGCTTGAATCTGTAACACTGGAAACCCACATCACACTTGAAATGATTGTTTGACCAAGTACAATGATGCACCACCACACTCTGGCATTGAATATGAAAGTCAAGAAACAATGTTACATTTGATAAAAGGTTCAGTTATCACTTAACAAGAGCATTAAAAAACATAGAATTCACTTAAAGAACAAAAGGTTTAAATGATAAAAATAATTTTTACTTGGCAGGGAAGGAGAAAGGCTTAATCTGGTACCTTTCAACTGGATTATATTGTAAATCACTTCAGAAGCATTTATTGTTTTACACATAACCAACTTTACCTGGATCAAAGTTGTCTCCAAATATTCTTTTTGCAGGAAGTTTCAGCGGAAATTGAGGATACTGCTTCTTTAGCTGGAATGAAAGAAAAGTGACTGAATTAGATCTTTCATACAGACAGATCTCAGATTCAGAAACCATGTCTCTCTGTAGGAGAGAAAAAAATATTCCTGTTCAGAATCAGTGAGGCTCGTAGCTTTCTCCAGCACCATAAATTATGGTACACTAAAGGAGCTGTGCCAAAGTAATTAAGCCGAATATCAAGTGACTGTTTCCAGCAGTGTGTTGGGACACAGTTGGGTAGAAATTCCACCTGGGTGTAGGTTTATTCTTATTGGTGCAGCATTTCAGAGCGTGGGGAATTTGCCAATTTATTGAAGTCGGTTTTAACTTGGTTTGGTTTCTTTAATTCTTAAAAGAACATTCTAAAGACTAAATGTGAGAGTTTAACATATTCTGGATGCTCTGAAATGCTGCGCTAATAGAAGAAAAGTAGACCTAGGTGGAATCTAACAACTGTCTCTTCACCACTAGAACCTAGTTTTGATATTCCCTTCACTGTGACACCTATGGAGGCCAAGATGTCAGCCTGGTTTTATTGGTAGCACTCTTCCCTCTGAGTCAGAAGGTTGTGGGTTCAAGCCCCACATCGGGACACTGAACTCATAGTCTAGGTCAACACTCGGTGCTGGGGGAGTTCCAGAGTTGCCATCTTTCGGATGAGACATTAAACTGAGGTCCCATCTGCCTGTTCAGGGAGATGTTAAAGAGCCCATAGCAGCACTCAAAAAAGAGATTGAGTTACTTCCTGCGACCTGGTCAACAATCCCCAAGATAAAATTATTCATTTATTCAATGGTTGTTTGTAAGATGTTGCTGTGCATATAATGGCTGCTGTATATTTGCCTACAAAATACAGTCACCATACTTCACAGTAAATTCTTTGAGATGTTGCAACAACATTAAGTTATATCGAGTGCAAGGATTATTATTATTATTATGACAAGCTTTTTGAGTCTGCACCACAAAAACTCATTCCCAAGTCGAGTCAGAGGATGGCTGACTTGGTTCAGACTCCATTGGACCTGTCTCTCAGGGAAGAGTTTATACATCTTTGAACATGTCCACCTACTTGAAAACCCCAATTGTGGATGATTCAGATGTCATACATCAAAAGTTCTAACGTATCAAGGTGGAGTGAAAAGCAACCAAAAAANGCCCTGCGTTGGTAATGAAAACACACATACACACACATATTTAAAAATTGCAACGGCCGTGGAAACAAAAAAAGAGGTTGGGTCAAAGAAGAAAAACATCTTGTGATTTCAGCCAAGAAAGTCGACAAAAAAGTAAATGTTTTGAATGACGTCTCTGGCTGATGCACTGATTCCTATGAATCATGTGAAATAATGTAATTCAGCATTCAACACTAAACAAAAGAAATAGCTTAGGCCACTAGATGGTCTTTCAAATTCAAGCTTGTCATGAGTAACACCTTCTCAAAGTGATCTGAACAATTGCACTGAATCAGTGCGTAAAGGAGGTACAAATTATATAGTATCAAGAACCGATTCACAAATGCAATGTCTGGATGCAATTATTTCAAGAACAAATTTTAGGGGTAATTTTCGAATTTTCACTTAAGTGCAAAGTCTAAGAATAAGAATGCTAAATGAAAACTTTCAACATTAGACACCTTAGATAGTAAGTATTTTATTATAGGATCCATTTAATTCAAAACAATCAGCTGCAAACTGGTTAAAAGCAACATTTATCCAAACGATACTAATTTGTATTCAACACAGCAAGCGGTAGGTATTGCATATCACCTAGAGATTAGTCTATTCAAGTTTCAAGCAATTAAAGCTAAAAACAGTGACTAATATAATATTATAAACAGACCTGCCACATGTACTACCTGCCAGATTATGCTGAAAATTCTCGCTAAGTGCAACTTGAACTAAATTGACAAATCATTTATATTCATAACCGGCATAGGCAATGTGAAGAAACTACATTCAACATCTCAATTGCGAGGCGCATTGCAGTTAAGAGTATATTAAGCATTCTCTTAAGAGTTGCATGTTAGAAATTTGAATGAGTCAGTACCATAGAAGTTAATACTGCATGCTGCCTCATTCTCTTGAAATTGTTGATTGCAGATTCATTTTCTACTCCCTCCTCCTCTCAAACAGCTCAGACAGAACCTTTTTAAATTTCGCATGTCAGCACCCATCTTGATCAGTTTGCAAATGTGCCAGAAAATAGAATCATAAGATCAAGTTCCTATAATACTTGGATGTTTGTCATTAAAATCATCGTATGTTGTGCCTACTTAGAAAACACACCCAAATATATTCTCATTAGTACTGGTGTCAAGTGTCAGAGTGGATAGCATTCTTGCCTCTGAGACAGAAGGTTGGGAAGTGAAGCCCTACCTCAGGACTTTGAGTTTGTAGGCTAGGCTGACACTCGTAAGGTGCTGGAGCTGTGCTATATTGTTAGAGGTACTGTCCTTCAGGTGAAATGTTAAGCCAATGTTTCATCTGTGCCTGTTCTTGGCACTATTTTAAAAAAATGTTTCTGACCAACAGTCTGACAGATAAAATTGGTCATTCACTTTATAACTTCGTGGACGTTGATGTGAGAAAATGGCTGCTGTATTTGTCTGGAAGTAACTACAGTCATTACTTGTCACAGTAAAATCTTGTGAAGTGCCTTGAGATACCTCAACAGTGTGAGAGGTGCAATATCAAATGCAAATATTCTTAATATACTTCAGTGTACCTACAGAAAATACAGAAAATACCATTTTAAAAATAAACTTTGGACATTTTATAATAATAATAATCCTTGCATTTGATATAGTGCTTTTCACGTCGGGAGGACGTCCCAAAGCGCTTCACAGAACACACTGTAAAGTGAATTGACTGTATATTTGTGGGCGAATGCAGCAGCCAATTGCGCACAGCAATGTCCCACAAACAGTCGTAGATTGAAAATAACCAATTTATTATTGTTTTTGGTTTTGGAGGGATTATTATTAGATGTGTGGAGTAAGGAAACTTGCCCAAGGTTTCGCCCTGTCTGGAATTGTACTCGGGTCTCTCGCTTGCAAAGCGAGTGCTCTAACCACTGAGCTACAGGACTCTTTATAGTACCAACATCAAAGCACATTAGGTGAGTCGTGCATACGAACATAAGAATTAGGAGCAGGAGTAGGCCATTCGGCCCCTCGAGCCTGCCCCGCCATTCAATAAGATCATGGCTGATCTATTCTAACTCCACCTACCCACCTTATCCCCATATCCCTTAATCCCTTTATCCACAAGAAATCTATCAATCTCAGTCTTGAATATGTTCAAGGACTGAGCATCTACAGCCCTTTGGGGTAGAGAATTCCATAAATTCACTACCCTCTGAATGAAGAAGTTTTTCCTCAACTCAGTGCAAAAGGGCTTACCCCTAATTTTAGGACTATGACCCCTGGTCATAGTTTCTCCAACCAGGGGAAAAAGTCTCCCACTATCTATTCTGTTGTGCCCCTTAATAATCATATAGGTTTCTATAAGATCACCTCTCATTCTTCTACATTCTAGAGAATATAGGCCTAAATTGCTCAACCTATCCTCATAACTCATCCCAGGTACCAACCTAGTGAATTTACGTTGTAGCCCTCCAAGGCGAGTACATCCTTTCTTAAATAAGGAGACCAAAACTGCACATAATACTCTAGGTGCGGTCTCACCAGGGCCCTATACATTTGCAGCAAGACTTCCCTACTCTTATATTCTAACCCTTTTGTAACAAATACCAACACACCATTAGCCTTCCTGATTGCTTGCTATACCGGCAAACTAACTTTTTGTGACTGGTGTGTACAAGGACACCCAAGTCCCTCTGAATGCTAACACTATCTCGTTTCTCCCGTTCTAAAAAATAATCTGCTCTACTGTTTTAGCCACCTGGGTGGATGACTTCAGAATTCCCTGCATTATACTTCATCTGCCACCTATTTGCCCACTCACCTAGCCTATCTATATCTTGTTGCATTTTTTTTAAATGTCATCCTCAGTGTTTACTCTCCCTTCTAGTTTAGTGTCATCCGCGAATTTGGATATATTAAGTTCGATGTCCTCATCTAGATCGTTGATGTAGATTGTAAATAATTGAGGCCCAAGCACTAATCCTTATGGCATTCCACTAGTCACATCCCACCAATCTGAGAAGGACCAGTTTATCCCTACTCTTTGGTTTTCTTCCCGTTAGCCATTCTTCAATCTATGATAATATATTCCCCTTAATTCCATGGGCCCTAATCTTGTGGATCAACCTCTTATGGGGCACCTTATTGAATGCTTTTGGAAATCTAAATGCACGACATCCACTGATTGCCCCTATCTAACCTACTTGACATGTCCTCAAAAAAATCTAAAAGATTTGTTAAGCATGAAACCTTGTGTAAGCATTTCATTGTGCGTTAACTAGACAACTGAGATAAGGACACTCGATATTCCCTTTGTACTCATTTACAACTCACATAATACCAGCGTTTTCACAACTCAATGTATTAAAATGATTTGAAAAAACAATGGCACTGTGTTGTAGCTCACTGCCATTTCAATGTAACAAATCGGAGAGACAAGGCATATGCTTCTGCCTGTGATTCCTCCACACAGTGAGGTCCCCCACTCTCTTTGGGGAAGCACCAATGAAGACTACTGCTTAAAAAACAGATTACACATTAGGCTGGCTGACTACTTGTATCCTGTACTAATTGTGTCCTGTATACACAATCTTGCAATATTTTGATGGCACTCATTACAGACCTCTGCACAATTATTTGAAATGGTGCTACACAACATTTGTGTCACCTCAACAACAATAAATCATATAACTACTTGCCAATATAGTTCAGGTTCCCAATATCATGTTCCTTCGGACAGTAACCACAATAATCTCCATCCACCCCAAACCTACAGTTCCTGAATAATGGCCAGCAAAAGGATCATTTTAAACTTATTGTCAATGGGAAATTTCTTCAGGACCTTCAGATCTAGGTGCTGGGCTTATAG